CAGGGTGAGTGACAGCTCTGAAAATAGCCTGCTTTCTGAGTGAGGTCCTTCCCTACGTTAGGGAATCCTTCCCCCCTTCCTCCCCATGCTACAGAGATTCTGCCCAGAATACTAGGCTTGTCCTCCCTGAGATATGAAAAAAGTAACAAATGTTGAACTAGCTCAGTCAAGAAAGAAGAGGAGGGCTCAAGTAGGAATTGAAGTGAGTTACTGAGGCAAGAAGCTGTGTCATGCCTAAAATAAAGAGGACTAAAATACAGCTGGGGTCAAATAGAATAAGATGAAGTACATATCATCTATATTGTTCTTTCTCCTAATAGAATTGCGCCAAATTTCCTTTCAGGTGAGGCCACATATCTTAATCTTTTTCTCTTTGTTACTACAAAATGTCCCTGTTATATTCAACTTTGCAATAGTTGCCAGAATGTTTGATCCAAAGGAGAAAGAAAAAAAAAAGTAGGATAGTGCTTTATCTATGGATCATTTCTATCTGAACTCTATCAAAAAAGTGACAGGAATATTAGAATCATCATCATCATCTTCCTTATTAAATTGAGAACAAAAAAAACAAAAACGAGAACAGAACAAACAAAAAAAGACACACTAAACTATTTGAAGCCAACATGGAAGCTAAATATTAACCATATACAATCATTTAAAAACATTATCAACTATGATTAGGCTATATGTATACCAGGATTATAGGGTTGGTTTAATATTAGGACAAATATACGTGTTTCTATTAAAATAAAATAAAATCACATGTTTATTTCAATAGATCCAGAAATAACTTTTTGACAAATTGCAACATCTATATCTTTAAATATATATAATATATATAATATGTGTGTATATATATAATATGTGTGTATATATATATATATATATATACCCAATAAACATTTCCCAATTATATATTTTTAAAATAGCATTTTTTTTGAAATTTTGAGTTCCAAATTTTATCTTTCCTCTCCCCTACCTCTTGAGAAGGCAAACAACATAATGTCAAGTATCCATGTAAAATCATGTGAAACATATGTTCACATTAGCCATGTTGCAAAAGAAAACACTAACAATAAAGAAAATAAAACATATATACTTCAGTCTGTACTTCAGAGCTTCTCAGTTCTCTCTCTGGAGGTGGATATCATTTTTCATCATGGATGCTTTGAAATTGTCTTGGGTCGTTGTTTTGATCAAAGTAGCCAAGTCTTTTACAGTTGATCATTGTTACAATATTGCTATTACTAACACGTGTATATGTTAAAAAATACTGAAAAGAATAAGAACAAATTAACTTTTCCTTAATGTGATAAATGGGAGTTGTTCTAAATCCAGAGCTAGAACTATCTGGAAATGAGGAGTACTAGAAGAATTTATCGTAAGACCAAGTGTAAAGTAAGGATGTCCATTGTCAACACTATTATTTGATATAATTCTAGAAATTCTATCAATAATAACATAAGAAAAAAGTAACTAAGAAAATCAGTATAGGCAGATCAGAAATAAAAAAATCTATTTTATTTGATGATATTATTTACATATAAAACCCTAATGATAATTAATTGTAGTAATTTGTAAACTCAGTATAGTAGAAGAACATAAAATAAATTCATACAGAAAGATAATTATTTCATCTTATTGCCATCAAAACCTAGTAGAAAGAGATAGAAAAAGATATGCCATTCAAAATAATTATTGAATGTATAAAATATCTGGAGGTCATCTATCAAGGTTCACTTAGGAATTATTTGAATACAACTGCAAAATACCCTCTACAGAAATAAAGATTTTAGACATTTGAAATCTAAAAACTGATTATGACTGGGCTGAGCCAAAATGATAAAAAAAAAAAGTTCTACTGAAATTAATTTATGGATCCAATTCCAAATTACTAAATTCAATACCAAATTACTAAAGGTTTACTTAACTAATTACAAATCCAATACCAAATTACTAAAGGTTTACTTTATAGAACTAGAATGAATAATAGTAAAATTCATCAGGTGGGGTCAAGGATTTCAAAGGAAATAATAATAGTGAGTTGGGGGAGTAAGAAGGTAGGGGGTCTAAAAGTATAAGATCTCAAAGCAGCAAATATCCAGAATATTTAGGAAGGATAAAAAAATAAGAAAAGTTAACCAATTGACCAAATTACATACACCACACCCCATAGTAAAATCAAGCAGTTGCTGAAGGAGTTGTGGAATGACAGATACATTAATGCACTTTGGGGAAGCTATACAGTATGTTGTAGCAAGCATTTTGAAACATATCCCAGGAATCACTTAACTAGTCCTATACTTTGATCTAAAGATATCACTTACTGGTATATATACCAATGAGATTAAAAAAAGATGAAAGGAATCCACATATAAAATAGCATTTCTAGTAAGTCATTTTTTATCATAGTAAAGGATGGAAAACAAAAGGAGTGCCTGTAAAGTGGGGAATGTTTGAACAAATTGTGGTGTATGAATGTAATGGAATGACATAGTGCTGAAAAAAAGGATTAAACTGATTTGTTCAGAGAAATCTGGGAGGACTTGTATGAGCTGATATAGAGTGAAGGAGTTAATACCAAGAGGAATATGTTGCAATAATACCATGATTACAACAAATAGAGGAATACAACTGTAAAAGACTTACAAATGATGGCCAGAGAAGTGACAGAATCATATAGATTAATGATGAAGCATGCTTCTTAATAGTGAAATGATAAATTAGAGATGGAAGATGAAGTACATGTTTTCAGACACAATTTGTAAATTTTGGTGTAGCTATACTGATTTCTTAAAAGAGAAGGCTTTTATTTCAGGGAGGAATTATGGGGGTTCAAAATGAAGTACAGTAATGATTTTTAAATAAATGAATTAAAAGATCATCAGAGAAGCAGGAGCAATCTTGTAACTATCATGTTAAATTCAAAGTATATAAAAAAGCTTTACCTAATGGAGATTCATGATTTTCTATTGAGTTCTTTTTTTTTTTCTGTTCTTAATATAGAGAAATATTCACATTTGTGGATGTTTGGTAAATTTATAATAACAAAAAGGAAAATTTAGAAACAACAACAATAATAACAACAAAAGAATGAAAATTTTATAAAAGCCTTTGTAGGAAAATGTGAACTCTTTAGGAATCTAAATCAGTAGTAGAGTCTATATGCTGACTGAAGTTATGAATACATTTGCATTTTAAAAAAGAATTTAACTCAATTCCTCATACTTACCTGTCAAGATCTGAATGCAGGGTTTCTAAAATATGACATTCAGTGTATAGGCCATATAGCCCTTGTAATATAAACCATTATTCGCATCTTGATATTCATGTAATGAATCATATGGAAAGTAAATCATTTCTATGTGTTCCTCTAGCAGGATTCACGCTCATATTTACCTGTAGCATTAAGGACTGTAATAGTATCATCAGCTTATAGGGAAGGAAAAGATAGGTCAATTATTTTGTAGCTGTATATGAGGCTGTTATTCTCTGCTCTCTGAAACCAGGACAGAACATGGTAACAGAATATAATGGTTTTGCAAAATGAAGAGTTTTTATTGTTATTGTTCCAGGGAGTTTTTAAGCATTGAAAAAGTTTACAGAGTAATGTTGTATGAGACTGGCTTCAAAGAAGTAGTTAAGAAATCTTTTTTTCTTTTGAACTTCTTAAGTTAGTTTACCTTTAATTAGCTATAGGACTGGAATGGATCACTTGATCTATAAAATTGCAATAACAATGTCTTACCAGTCAAAAGCAAGAGAACTAGACTATGTCATCCCTTGAAGTGACTTCCAACTCTAATGACTAGTAAATGTACATTTTTAAAAGATTTTCTATACAACATTTTGTAAAATGAAGAAAAAAATAGTGAAACAGATGGGAACCAGTGTACATTTTTTAAACATTTTCTGTACAACACTTCGTAAAATGAAGAAAAAAACAGTGAAACAGATGGGAACCAAAGTGTACATTTTTTAAACATTTTCTGTACAACACTTTGTAAAATGAAGAAAAATACACTAACAGGATAATCTATCTCAGAATTTGTTTTATTTCTATTTTGATAATGTAAGAGTTTGAATAAGGATATATGGAGGAATTTACTCCAAACTGATTTAATTTTGTCTCTTAGATTTAGACGTGAGAGGGACTTTAGATCCCTTCAGATCTAACCAGCTTCTTTTACATAAAGTGGAATATGAGTTACATAAGGCCAAGAACTACCTTAGTTTTGTTTTACATCTTAAGTATCAGCACAAAGTAGGAACTAAATAAATGCTGAATTTATGAAAGGGTATGAGAAAACAGAGGCCCAGGGAGGTTGTGAAAAATATGAAAAGGGGAAAATGGAGTAAAACCTTTCATGTGTTGGTCTCTAAAAATAAATTACAATTATGTTTTCAAATACAACAATAAAAATTGAAAAATAAAAATACAGAAACAGAATTATACATAAAATCTCCATACACAATGAAAAATATATTAAATGTATAAGCATCAAGTAAGATAAAAGCTGTAAGTTGTTAAAAGAAAAAAATGAATAAATTGCAATAAATTGCCATAGTAACCCATTAATATGTGTAGGAGGCAGCTAGGTGCCTCTGGAGATAGAACACTGGGCCTGGAGTTAACTGATGTCAAACATTTACTAGCTATATGACTCTAAGCAAGTCACTTAATCACTCTTTGCTTAAATCCACTGGAAAAGGAAATGGCAAACTACTCTAGTATCTTTGCCAAGAAAATTCCATGGACAATATGTCCCATGGGGTCACAAAGAGTTGGACATGACTGAATGACAACAAATATCTATAGACTTTAACATTTCTCTCTGAGTTGTATAAACCCAGTGGAAAAAAATAGGTGTTGTTATTTATTCTTTGTTTTTGAACAGGGCCAATGACATCATGGGCGATGTCTTGACTTGGACATGAATTGGATTTAAGGGAGGCAGAGTTGCTCAAAGTTGTCAGTTTTACTCTCTCTTTCAAAGTCATCGAAGTCCAGTGGCAAGACAAAAGTCAAGGCGACTAGCCATGGCCCAGGATGCAGGATTGTTCTCATCCTATCATTCCTCCAGGTAAAGTCTTCACATGCTCATTTTGTTTTTTATTAAGCTTCGTAAACTTGGGAGCTTTCTACTTATTATTTGGGTGGTAAGGGATCACTAGGAAACATCTAATCTTACCATTTTCCTGGAAATCCCAAGAGTTCTAATTTATAAAAATCATAAGCATTTTATAGAGACAAAAATGTGAGTAGATAATTTGATAATTACTAATGTCTCCTCATCAGTTAAAAATAACACAATTTGTGATCTTTTCCCCAATTATTTAGTATTTTTGTTCCTTGAGATATCTTGAAAGCATATCCTTCAGTGACTTCAAAATTACATCATCTATCAAATTTTCTCTTTGTATTTAACATAGTTCAGTTAATCTTCACAACTCTTATCTTTATATATGTATTCATTCATTCATTCGTTTGTTTATTTGCTTGTTTATTTATTTATTTGTATGTATTCATTCCCTAATTTGCTTATTATTTATTTGTTTATTTATTTGTTCACTTACTTATTTACTTATTTATCTGTCTATTCACCTATTTATTTATTTGCTTATTTATTCATTTATTTACCTATTCATTCATTCATTTATTTGTTTGTTTGTGTATGTATGTATGTATATACTTACGTTTTTAGTGAGGCAATTGAGATTAAGTGACTTGCCCAGGATCACACAGCTACTAAGTGTCAAGTGTCTGGTCTGAGGCCAGATTTGAACTCAGGTCCTCCTGACTCCAGGCCTGGTGCTCTATACACTGCACCACCTAGCTGCCCTCTCCCAACTTTTAATAAGAATTCAAGTTAGGCTTGGTGGCTCATGCCTGTAATACTTACTACTTGAAAGGTTGAGATTGGTGGATCACTTATGCTTGGAACTTTTGAACTGCAGTGTGCTCAGCTGATTGGGTGTCCCTATAAGTCTGTCATTAATATAGTGAGCCACCGATAGCATAGGACCACCTAGCTTCCTAAGGAGGGGTAAACTAGATCAAGTCAGAACCAGAGCAGGAAAAATTCCCTGTACCAATCAGCAACCTATGGGATCAACCTATGAGTAACTGCTTCACTTTCAATCTAAGTGAGATAATGAGACCTAGCCTCCAAAAATAACTAAGTAGATGGGGGAGAGAGAGAGAGAGAAAGAGAGAGAGAGAGAGAGAGAGAGAGAGAGAGAGAGAGAGAGAGATGGAGAGAGAGATGAATGGATGAATAGCAAGATAGTTGTTAACTAAATGAAAACTGAATCTTACTTTGGAATTTTTTCCTGTCCAAGCTTAGATTTTACCTGGGCTAAGTGAATTCAAAGGGTGTCTGAGGATGATAAATAAGTATGTTTGTGTTTGTGGATAGTGTTTAAAGCTATATACATTCTCAAAAGGATGAATTGGATCGAATTGAATTTTAGAGTACAAATTGATGTGATCTCTCAGCAGGTCACACTCTGAATGGTGAATAAAGCAGCATCAAAAACTTACATCATTAAGTTAGCCACACTGCTCTTTGTTTCTGGAAGCCATGGTTAATGGAATAGGGACTCCTGAGAGCTAGTATGTTGGTAAAGTTGCCAGTACTCTGCCAACATTTTGAGGTGTCAGAAACATCATCTTAATCAGTCATGAAAGATCATAAATGTGGTGGGGCTGTGGTAAGCATGGTAGATACTTCTCTGTGACTTCAGGACCTACTGTGGCAAGTCAAGTCAAGAAGTATACATTAAGTGCTTACAATGGGTAGAGGAAAGCTTTTATTTTCCCAAAATCCTAGATAAGAACTTCTGGATGTCTATGATATTTTGATATCTTGATATAAAAATAAGCTGCACTATTAAAGTGTCTGAACAAAGAGAGATTTATATATGCTAGGTTCAGAAATGGCCCCTTTCTAATGCTCATATTCGAAGACTCCTTTTTGGTAATGTATCAGTTAGGGACAGGAGCAGAGGGCCTGAAAGGGTCTCATGGATAAACTTGTCTTGGTTTTCTGCCATAACTCAAAGGGGCTCATAGAAGGGTCCAACCATTTCCTTTCTGAGTCATTTTTTTCCAGGTACATTGTCCACCATTTTTATACATGTATGCTTTACGTAACATATGCTAAATGATGAATAGCTTTCAAGAAGATTTAATAATTAAAAGGTGATTGATACTTTATATAATATACACTTTTGTATTTAGTAAACATACATATATGCATAATCCATATGTAAATATCAATGTCTACTTGCATACATATGTGAATGTATCATATATATATATATATATATATCTTTATTCATGTCTACAATGTGTCTTTTACATTTTATTTGTGTGTACATACATATATATATTAAGTACAAATGTATTTTCCCTTTATATGTGTGTATATATGTAGTTTAAAATATGTATATAAGGTATATATATATATGTATATATATATATATATATCTAGAATATATGTATACAAATATGTAATAATGAATTTTGTATTATGTTTTATATATGTGTGTGTGCAAATATATACATATAGGTTTGTGTGTGTAAGTGTATTTAGACATGAAACATCTGAGAGGTAATCATCATCTTTCTGCTAAGGAGTCCCAGTTGTATATTTAAAGCCCAAGTCTCAATCCTGATTTCCAGTCCTACACCACCAACTGCTGCTGGAAAATTTTAGACTTAATCTTATTAAACAACACAAGCTAAATAAATCCAAATTTGAACTCAAATTTGATGCTATCCTAAGCTTGTTATTCTCATTCACCCTAGAAATCCTCTCAGTTATTATCTTGTCTCTTCCACTACCACATTTCTTGTGAAATGTTCCATTTTCTCTACTTCTGCAGCTATCACACCAATTCAGGCTCTCCCCACCTCTTGACTGGCCTATTGAATTATTCTCCCATTTAATCTCCCTTTTTGAAGTCTCTCCCCACTCCTATCCATTCTCCATAGATAGTGGCCACACTGATTTCTCTAAAGTGTTGGTTTGACCATGTTCACCCGACTTCCCAAACAATATCAGTCAATCTCCAAGGCTTTATTAAATGTTTACTATGTGCCGGGCACTACGCTAAGTGATGGAGATTGGATAAAAAGATGGGCCAAATCATACCTGCCCCCATAAAGATCATATTCTGGTGGAAGAGACACATGCAAATAACAACTTATAGCATAGATGTACGGCAATATCAGAGGGAAGGCATTACCACTGTGAGAGAGTAGGAGAAGTTTCTTATAGAAGCTGGGATGTGACCCATCTTGAAGAGAAGGCCAGGAAAGCCAAGAAGCAGAGGTAAATAGGAAGAGAATCTCAAGCATGGGGAGGGGGGTCAGTCAGTGTAAAGATTGTGAGTCAGAATAAGACATACCATATACAAGAACAGTAAGGAGATCTAATCAGGGGGTCATAAAGTATGGGGAAAGTAGTACTGTAACTAGTACAATGTGTGTGAACTCAAAAGTAATAGAAAAGTTTGGAAGAGGAAAAAAAAGGTTTTTTTGAGGGGGAAGAATAATGAGTTAATAAGATCATTAAAGCAAAACAAAACTTTAAAAAACTTAAGATTTCTCATTAGTACAATAATCAACCACAACTCCAGGGGACCAATGTAGGGTTCCTATTGGGGAAAAGCCACAAAACACAGTAATAAGTGAAAAGCCATAAAAATTTAAACTCTGTGAAAGGTAGAAGCCTGAACATGGTAGAATCATAACTTAGATACCGATTTTTATTTCAGACACTGAGTCATAACTTAAGATACTATAATCTATGAAAGCCGAAACAAGAACATTGTGACCTATACGTGACCAGTACATGATCGATATACAAACTTATGTTTGAGCATAACTTTGGCTTAACTCTCAGGCTCATTACTAAGCAGAAAACCAAAAATATCAACCAAGCAGTAGAGATGCACTATCTAGCCCCTCCTCCCTTTGTCCATTTTCTATAATTACTATGGAGATTTTGGGGATTCTTGATGGGGATCCACTAAATTGTTTGGCTGCTGCCCCAGACCAAGGATAATTAATATCTTGGCAGGGATCTATCATATTTCTCCAAATAGGAAGTAACCCAAATTGATTAAACTACTACTTATAGGCAATTGGAGCTTCTTGGCCTCTTCCTTTGGTATCAAAGAACACCCTATAGTAATGAGGGAGGTACAAGGTTCCCCAGGTGGGAGAATTGTGGACCTTACAACCAATCATAGTGTATTTCTACCCACCTCCTGAATATAGGAGATGGACTCAAGATGAAGAAAGAGAAACATATTTTTGACAAGTCCACTATGAGAATTTATTTTCCTTAACTAAACACATTTGTTACAAAGTTTTGTTTCCCCTCCCCCCCACTATAGGGATAGGAAAATTTGAGACAGAGAGAAAATCAATGATCAATTTTTAAATCCTCTAAAAGAATTTAAAAATGAAAGTTAATAAGTTCTATTTTGGATTTGCTTAGTTGGATATACCTATAAGACAATCTATTTAATAGTCAGTAAACTCTAGTGGCTCCTTATTAAATCTGGTATGAAATATGAACTCCACTTTAGAACATTTAAAATCCTTTAAAAACATTTCCAGCCTTATTGCTCAAAACTCCCCACCACAGGACATGTGGTAATTTATTCCAAATAGAGGTCATCTCTTGCCTTTGAACCTTTGCTTTTGCTGGTTTCCATGTCTGAAATGCCATACATGCCTTTCTCATATTTCATAGTTTTCTTCAAAGGTCAGTTCCAGTGTCACTTTCTATATAAAACCTATTCTGATGCCCCTAGCTGCTCATGTCTCCTCCCTCTTGCCAAATCCTGGCTACACAAAAGACTATACCAAATAGTTAGCAAACTTCTTTATCAAGTTAAGCAGAGAGCAGAAATTAGGTAAACTATACAGGTTAGAATAGACGAAAGAATACAGAAGAACAAATGAGATCTTCATCTGGGAGATAACAGCTCACTTCAGACAATAAGAGAATGTAGTATCCAGGATTGCAGGCATTGAGAATCTAGGGACATGTTGAGGGATGGGGTT